AGTTGCCTGACGAAATGGTTTCGTCATTCGTCAGGGACGTAAGGTTACGTCATTCGTCAGGCATCATTAGTTACAGTAAGATCGAGCTCTTGAGAAAGCCACATAAAGCTAACCGTGAGTGAATACATGCTCAGGCAGGTAGAGCCCCACGTTTGGAATAGTTTGACCCTGAGATTTATTGATTGTCAGGGCAAAAGTGAGTTTAATTAGAAATTGCTTTCTTTTTAATACGAAAGGTAGTTTAGTATCACTTGATGGAATAAATGTTATTTGGGGGAGGAATACTTGCTTGCCTTTGTAACTACCTGTAGCTATTTCAGCTTCGATAACATTAGTGTTAAATGTTTGACATATTAGTCTGGTACCATTGCATAGACCATTGAATGGATCCAGGTTACGAAGACATATAATAGGAGTGTTAGTCTTTAGTTGTAGTTTATGTGGGAGGATATCATTAATGGTTATTGAATTGAGAAATTCTTGTTAGTAGAGATTGTTGGTATCATCAGGTACGAAGTTGAAACTACGGTATGTTGTGCAATTTCCTAGTAATTTGTCTAGTATTATATTGTTAATGTAATCTACGTGTTCATTTTTGGTGGTAAGTATGATTTTGTTAGTGAAATAAGAAGTATCTAAAAACTGGGTATAGAGAGATGGATATGTTGATTTTATAAGTGTTTGTAAAGATTCTTCGTCATGCCACTTAATTACCATATTATCAAGAATACAGATCATGTCATCACCGATAGTTTTTTCGGTTCTATTTCCTATTCTTATTAAGAAGTTTTTAAAATCGTTACTTTCGAGATTATTTTCTACTCGCATATTTTGGTGAAGTTTGAAAATTTCCATGTTAGACCATAATGTTGAAGATTTTAAAGTAGTTTTTACAATTTGTGTATGACTTATTTTTGGTATTACAGTAAAATTTAGCAGAAATCTCCTCCAAACACGATTACTTTTCCACCAAATAGACTGTTACATTCCATTATGTCTTTCAGAGTTCGGTTCAAGGCTTCTATTGAGTAACGTTTTATCATGGAAATTTTATCTATTATTATTAATTTGGCTAGTTTTAGTAATCTAGCCAAATGGCTTTGTTTGCTGATAGAGCAGGTTGAATTTGGATTAATATCTAAAGGGATTTTAAATCTAGAGTGCGCGGTTCGACCCTCGGGGATTAATAATGTGGCAATACTGGATGTGGCAGTTGCTAGCACAATTGAGCAGGCTGAACGAATTTTAGCAAGCAAGCAAAGATAGAGAAAAGTTTTTCCTGAGCCTGCAGATAAAGATATAATATAAATTAGGTTTGGGATGAAGTAAATTTAATACATTTTATCTTGCTTATAGATGTTCATAACATAAAGTCATTATTTAGTACTATGTATGTTTATTAAAACTAATTTTGACTTTAGATTTCACGTAAATATACAGTACCTGCGGGTCAATCAACAAATATAGTTGCAGGTTGATTTTTTTCAATGTGTTCTATAACAGTGTTATATACTGATTTTGATTTTCATTTAAAATTTCGATTTTTGCAAGATCCTCGTTAATTACTGGAATATTTAATTCACTAAGTAACAATTTTGGTAATTCGTTTAGATTATCATCTGATGAAGTAAATAGGAGAGGATCGTATTCATTTAGAGACTTGTGATATTGTTCCAAGAGATATTTTATTTGTAAAAGAACTGCATTAATCTGGAGGCAATTATTTGGGATTCCTTTTTTTGCATAATCTTCTGACATTGCTGCAAAGCTATCATTCTACAGAGTTTAAACATCACCTGGTTCTCCAAATAGTAATATGGTGGTAAACAATTGTCATAAAGCAAAGAGCATTTGAAATTGAATGGCTTCCTGCATGGTTTCACTATACATTGTTTCTTTTTCTATAAGGTTTCGTTTTATTGCACTTTCTTTAAAAGTCAAACACAAATAGCTATTTACTAATTTTAAGTCAGCAAATGATATAGCCCCCTTAATGTTGTTTAGAAGTATACGTAAATAATAGCATTCTCCTTCAATTGGGTTAACTGCGTATATTCTTCTAATCATTTGACCTTGGTGACACTTTGTCCATTTTTTGGTCATTTTATTCCAAATGTAATGCTTCAGGAATTTACAATACAAATAGTTGCGGGCTTGTAGGTCAATTTCGTTTATTTTAAAATATTCAGTTAGCGTAGTTTTTTTATTTTTTTCATTATTAAGAACATTATTTATATTTGATGTTTTAGAAAATGTCACATTATATTAATCAGGAAGATGAATTTGTAAGCATTGTACTGACAAATTAATGTTAGAAAGTTCGAATTCAAAAATTCTCCAACACAATTTAGAAGAAGAGACCTACCTAGCATCTAAGTACTGATTAATTTCATCATTATTTGTTACTTGTAAGGCTGCACAATCATGCCTTTGTACACGTATTTATACAAATATTTGACGGATTTAATGCTCGAACATACTTCAACATTGATATGGCAATTGTATTTTAATAAAAGGTAAGGATTGTATAGAACAACCCAGCGGTTATCTAGTTTTGCATTTTTTATTAATATATGTCTTCCATTTTCATGTTGCTGATACAATGGATATGAATCATCACCTTCTCTTGTATTTTGAATAAATTCTTTCGGGTAATGTTTTGTATATATGTTTTCTTTCATACATAGTACATTTTTATTGAAAGATCCACATGGGCCGTGAATCATGAAGGAGGTGACTGTTTGATATAAACCAGGTTGTTCTATAGGATTAGATATTTCTGCAGACACTATAGAATCATAGTCATCAGTGCCAAGTAGTTTATCGTCTGGATGAAAGATTAATAATAAATGCGTGTGGGGAAGACCAAGTTTTTGGAATTCTACCACATATATATGTGCAATTACTTGACCAAGTATATTTTTATTAAAAAGGTCTTTTTTTAATTCTTCTAATTTCGCGTGAAAAACCTGAGCTGTAAAATAAGATCATAATTTTTATTATCGTGAAAGAAAAAATTTCATTATAATTTTAGTAAAGTTTTTAATAATTTTTATAAATAACAAATAAATAAATAAGAAATTAAGAATATAAATAAATAAATAAATTAACAATAGTTAAATTATTAGAAAGAAAAATAAGTAATCAATATTATTTTCGTGCTTTTCAAATTACTGTGATCAGCAAATTTCATGTATCACACTGGGAATCAGGAATCTGGAAAGAATGCTAGTATATAATTGGTTAAAAATTATTTGATTAATTTTTAGCCAATCACGTACTGATATTTTTCTAGATTCCTGATTCCTGATGTGATACATGAAATTCATTGATCGCAGTAATTTGAAAAGCGCGATAATATTAAGTTATAATAATATATGCAAAGTAATAAACAAAATAAAAAAAAAAAAAGTAGCAAGCATTATAGAAATTCATTATATTAGCAAATCAAATTTTACCTGTAAGATCTGGCCTGTCTTGCGGAGTCTTTTCTGGTAAAAGTTTTGATATTATTTCAGGCCAATAAGGGTTGCACATGGTTGTAATGAATAAATTTGGCTTGCTATATGTTTGAACTAATGTCATCATGTCTTGATATCTTTGATATATATTTCAGGGTCTATCTATCAAAGTAGAAGGTAAAATAATACATCGTCCTATATTAGATGTATTGGTTATCCCTGATTGAAAAGAATCTTGTAAGCCTTGATAAAGTTCCTGACGAATTTTGTCTTGATTACAACGTATGTAGTTAAGATGTGTTAATTCAATTTTTACATAATTGTCAACAACATATTGCTGAAAGAGTCTACACCATAAAATAATAGTGCCAAAGGTTTACGAAAATGTAATTTGTAAGAATAATATTGTTTGGCAGTAATTTTTTTTAATGATCCATTTTGTAATATCTCAGGATGCTGACCGTGGTCACCTCGGGAAAAAAGAAGAAGATATTGCATTGGATTATATGATCCACTCAGTTTTGATACTCTTTGTAAACCTTGTGATCGGGAATGTATAACTACATCACGTTTTGTATAATTTGTGGGATCATTACCCTCTATCCATATAGCTGCGACTTGCGAAGCTATTGGCATATTGTAAATACGTTAGTCTAAGCCGTGATCAGCTTTAATACAAAGACTAAGGTTGGTTATATTACTGCAAGAAGAAATCAAGCGAAAATTCACTATAAAAGAATTCAACTGGTTTAGTAATATTTTAATAAATTCTAATGTATCTTGACAAAGTCGGGGCATGATATTAAGTCTGTTGGTTGTTTCGAATTCAGTATCATAAATATATAGCTAGAGGAATTTTGGAATATTATCAACTGGAATAAGTGATTCTATTGAATGGTAGATTTTACCTTGTACTCGAAATGTATAAACACCATTTCTATCTATTTAAAGATTATTATGTAGATATATATAATCAAATATGGTTTTAATAATATCTTACCATTTGCAAGATGTTTATCTAACTTGATACCCATGGAAGTAAACGCAAAAGCATTGTTGTAAGCTCTAATGTTCTTACAAAAATCTTTATCTATGTTATCATGCCTAACAAATAAATCTATTAAGGGCGTGGTTTTAGCTACCGAGGTTAGCCTGTCGTTGAAAAATCTAAATTTAATCATAATAAAGTAATTTTTTTTGTTTTTTCTTATAAATTTACTTGATTTTTCCCAATCCACAACATGTTTCTTGAGTCTCAGTAGGGAAAAGTGCAGTGTGACAATAAATGCATTCATGCATATTGTTAAAAACATGATGCGAAGATGAAGTTGTTTCATGAAAATGACGACTGATATTATAGTTTGGTTTTTTTCATTATTAAGAACATTATTTATATTTGATGTTTTAGAAAATGTCACATTATATTAATCAGGAAGATGAATTTGTAAGCATTGTACTGACAAATTAATGTTAGAAAGTTCGAATTCAAAAATTCTCCAACACAATTTAGAAGAAGAGACCTACCTAGCATCTAAGTACTGATTAATTTCATCATTATTTGTTACTTGTAAGGCTGCACAATCATGCCTTTGTACACGTATTTATACAAATATTTGACGGATTTAATGCTCGAACATACTTCAACATTGATATGGCAATTGTATTTTAATAAAAGGTAAGGATTGTATAGAACAACCCAGCGGTTATCTAGTTTTGCATTTTTTATTAATATATGTCTTCCATTTTCATGTTGCTGATACAATGGATATGAATCATCACCTTCTCTTGTATTTTGAATAAATTCTTTCGGGTAATGTTTTGTATATATGTTTTCTTTCATACATAGTACATTTTTATTGAAAGATCCACATGGGCCGTGAATCATGAAGGAGGTGACTGTTTGATATAAACCAGGTTGTTCTATAGGATTAGATATTTCTGCAGACACTATAGAATCATAGTCATCAGTGCCAAGTAGTTTATCGTCTGGATGAAAGATTAATAATAAATGCGTGTGGGGAAGACCAAGTTTTTGGAATTCTACCACATATATATGTGCAATTACTTGACCAAGTATATTTTTATTAAAAAGGTCTTTTTTTAATTCTTCTAATTTCGCGTGAAAAACCTGAGCTGTAAAATAAGATCATAATTTTTATTATCGTGAAAGAAAAAATTTCATTATAATTTTAGTAAAGTTTTTAATAATTTTTATAAATAACAAATAAATAAATAAGAAATTAAGAATATAAATAAATAAATAAATTAACAATAGTTAAATTATTAGAAAGAAAAATAAGTAATCAATATTATTTTCGTGCTTTTCAAATTACTGTGATCAGCAAATTTCATGTATCACACTGGGAATCAGGAATCTGGAAAGAATGCTAGTATATAATTGGTTAAAAATTATTTGATTAATTTTTAGCCAATCACGTACTGATATTTTTCTAGATTCCTGATTCCTGATGTGATACATGAAATTCATTGATCGCAGTAATTTGAAAAGCGCGATAATATTAAGTTATAATAATATATGCAAAGTAATAAACAAAATAAAAAAAAAAAAAGTAGCAAGCATTATAGAAATTCATTATATTAGCAAATCAAATTTTACCTGTAAGATCTGGCCTGTCTTGCGGAGTCTTTTCTGGTAAAAGTTTTGATATTATTTCAGGCCAATAAGGGTTGCACATGGTTGTAATGAATAAATTTGGCTTGCTATATGTTTGAACTAATGTCATCATGTCTTGATATCTTTGATATATATTTCAGGGTCTATCTATCAAAGTAGAAGGTAAAATAATACATCGTCCTATATTAGATGTATTGGTTATCCCTGATTGAAAAGAATCTTGTAAGCCTTGATAAAGTTCCTGACGAATTTTGTCTTGATTACAACGTATGTAGTTAAGATGTGTTAATTCAATTTTTACATAATTGTCAACAACATATTGCTGAAAGAGTCTACACCATAAAATAATAGTGCCAAAGGTTTACGAAAATGTAATTTGTAAGAATAATATTGTTTGGCAGTAATTTTTTTTAATGATCCATTTTGTAATATCTCAGGATGCTGACCGTGGTCACCTCGGGAAAAAAGAAGAAGATATTGCATTGGATTATATGATCCACTCAGTTTTGATACTCTTTGTAAACCTTGTGATCGGGAATGTATAACTACATCACGTTTTGTATAATTTGTGGGATCATTACCCTCTATCCATATAGCTGCGACTTGCGAAGCTATTGGCATATTGTAAATACGTTAGTCTAAGCCGTGATCAGCTTTAATACAAAGACTAAGGTTGGTTATATTACTGCAAGAAGAAATCAAGCGAAAATTCACTATAAAAGAATTCAACTGGTTTAGTAATATTTTAATAAATTCTAATGTATCTTGACAAAGTCGGGGCATGATATTAAGTCTGTTGGTTGTTTCGAATTCAGTATCATAAATATATAGCTAGAGGAATTTTGGAATATTATCAACTGGAATAAGTGATTCTATTGAATGGTAGATTTTACCTTGTACTCGAAATGTATAAACACCATTTCTATCTATTTAAAGATTATTATGTAGATATATATAATCAAATATGGTTTTAATAATATCTTACCATTTGCAAGATGTTTATCTAACTTGATACCCATGGAAGTAAACGCAAAAGCATTGTTGTAAGCTCTAATGTTCTTACAAAAATCTTTATCTATGTTATCATGCCTAACAAATAAATCTATTAAGGGCGTGGTTTTAGCTACCGAGGTTAGCCTGTCGTTGAAAAATCTAAATTTAATCATAATAAAGTAATTTTTTTTGTTTTTTCTTATAAATTTACTTGATTTTTCCCAATCCACAACATGTTTCTTGAGTCTCAGTAGGGAAAAGTGCAGTGTGACAATAAATGCATTCATGCATATTGTTAAAAACATGATGCGAAGATGAAGTTGTTTCATGAAAATGACGACTGATATTATAGTTTGGTTTTTTTATTGTTGTGCAATGAAATTTCCTAGATCTTTGAATCTGGGAAGTTTCTGCTACTTAGCGTTCTTTGGTAGTTCGTGGATGAAGGTTATGAAGAGGTAGCATATATGTAAGTCAATTTAACAAAAATAAAGATCAAATAGTGAATAATGATATATATATATATTAATATTAATGTACAATGAATGAATATATATCTATATTTTTTATTTATTTTATATTTAATTTAATTTGTTTAATTTTTTTTTCTCATTTCACAGATATTTTTTTTAATATAACAATTATCAGGTAGATAAAGTGAATTCTCAAATTTGTAATATCATATTCATATTCACTATGTAATAATTAGAATTGCATTTTTACTTACAGGAAATTTCATCACTAATTATTTTATAAGAAAATTATCATGATTTTTTTATATCACTGTTAACCTTTTTGGTAATTACTGTAAGTCGTAAGAAAAAATATCTTTTTTGTTATCTTTCTTGTCGTTCTTACAACATTTTCACGTATATAATTTAAAGAAATTAAATTAATAATCATATATTAATAATCATATGCGCGATTACCAGTATTCAATCATATTATTATTATAAATAAAAAGTTTTTTGTCTAGTTATAAGTCCTAAACTTTTTAGTACTCGATGAAACATTGTAACATCAAATTTTCCTTCTTAATTTAGCTTAAATCATGAATTACTCAATGATTCTAAATCTTTTCTACCATTTATTTATTTATCCGTATATGCTATTTTCATTTTATCTATTTATCTATTTATTTTTCATACTGCAAAATTCAATTACTGATGATCTTGACATTTTTAGTTATTTGCATAATAAATATGGGGTCTTTCACATTAAAAGGGCCCATTTTGCAAATTTTTTGAAAAATGAGTTTTTATTAGATTCATGTAAAT